CCTACCGTCACGTTGTATCTTCAAGTCGATATAATAGGTACTTTCAGCAGGATCCACCCCAAGCCTATCAAGCCCTTTTGTTCATTTACTCAAAGAATACATATTATTATCGAGTTTAGTCGAATCCGCGAATTCTGAGTATCGTCTATGTGAACACATCTGACTATGATTCCCTCTTCAGAACATTGAAGGGGTGACCTCAATTTATCAATCCGCACTCATCTTTCATCGCCAGTAATGTCATCATAATCGGTAGAATGTTTGTCTACATAATGTCGGTAAATACTCGATGACTTAACGTTGACTATGGTGTGACAAATAAAAAATTGTGCTTTCCATCAGTATTTACAAAAAAATAGGCTTCTTCCCATACAGAATCGAATGAGAAGGTTTAAAAAAATATGCTTGTTAAGACCACTCTGTCTTGTCCTATTAGGAAATGGCCTGCGGCCGGGGGATAGTCCGATAATATTTTGCTTCCAGACGCGACGCGACGGCTGTGCGGTCGAGGAGGAGGGGGAAACTTCAAGGCACCTCTCCACACAACGTCCGTCGACACATTTCTATTAAACGACACGTTTTCGATGGTATGAGGATAGTCATTGAGAGGACTCGGAACTTAACCTCCCCATCCACTTACCCCACCGCCCCTTACCACTCCGCACCGCCATAGGTTCCGTCGAGCTATTTACCTGAGCAGAGTTAGATTACGATACTGCACAAGTGCACACAAGAGTTCAGGTAGTCTACAAAAAATATACTGTCAACATTTCTATTATATCGAACCGATAATAGGTTTTAGAATTAGCATGCCCATTGAGAGTCGACTCTCATCTATTATACAATAGGTTATTGATCGGGGACCGAAGCTATTTCTACGATACAAATTTGTCGAACAACACGTTTTCGATGCTAACAGGATTGTCATTGAGAAGAGTCGTAATTTAAACACCCCCACCCCTTACCCCACCGTCCCTTACCTCACCGCACACGACGAGTGAGAGGGCAAAGATTGGTCATATCATCGGATTAAGGTGTAGGGATGACGAGAAGTGGGAAAAGAGCGCTGCTGCTCGTTCGCCCGGTCGATGAGTTATAATATAGTATAGTATATATAGTAGTGGGAGGAGGGGGGGAGGAGAGGGTGTGTATCAGTTAACCAAACCCCCTCCGTCGACTCATTTCAATTAAACAACACGTTTTCGATGCCATGAGGATGGTCATTGAGAGGACTAGGAATTTAAACACCCCCCGCCCCTTACATCACCACACAAACCATCCCTTCACCTCCATCGGGAGGTCTTGCTTCCGGCCTCATCAATCTACTTACATGTAATAGGCGAACATATATGCCGAAGTGGAGCGCGTATAAATACAGGGTGCTTCACAAGTCGTGACCAATGATAAAACATCATACACAGGACCGCATTTCCTATGTGATATTTTTTCCTCGAGGGCTTCATTAAAAATAAAAATTATTTTTATTTAATATCTTCAAAACCATTAACTGGAATGGACTAAAATTTGGGATGTGGATTGACCGAAGTATTGTACACATTCAAAAGTCTTTACCGAATAAAAATAGTACGCCAATATTTCGAATTTTACCTTCAATTTGCAACAAACAATTACTCTTGTACTTTTCCTATAGAGCACTGTTTTCGTAAATACAAAAATAAAAAAAATTAGACCCTTCATGAAGAGCTGAGGTACAATTAGTTTCAAAATAAAATAGGAGGCCTTGATACCAACTTGACGTTTCTTGGGAGATAGTTTGTCAAAGTTATGTGTTATACGGTTGTTATCGTTACTACTACCTTTTTTTTGTAAAAGACAAGCCAAAAGTCTCTTTTTTCCATTTTTGAGCGTTGTGAAATGGAACACCGAATGAATACTTATTTTATAGAAAGTATAAATTAAATAGTGAAGACGATTGATGACGGTGATCCAAATTTATGTCCATTACAAGTATGTCAGAATTCATCAATGAAGCAATTTAGGACAATTAACATTAACAATCTAAGAAAAGCTATCTCAAAATTGATATCTAATAAAAATCTAAAATCCCAAAAAATATTCCAAATGATTGTTTCAATAGAATTGGAGAGAAATTATTATTATTGGTGAATCATTGTTCAAAAGTTCAAAATTCTCAGCTGTATACAAATATGCAACCGATTAATGTCTTGCCCGATGTCGAGAAGCTGTTCGAAGGGATATTATACGAACAAATCATATAATTCATTGAAGAAACCAAAATTTTGACAAAAATCGAGCTAGATTTAGAAAAAAAATGTTCCATAGAAACAGCAATCCAGATGGTGGTGGAAGACAGGAGAAGAAGTATAGATGAGAAAGAATATATTGTAATAATATTTTTAGATTTCAAAAGGGCATTTGAGACTATAGATAGGGAAAAATTGTTAATCAAATTGCGTCACTATGATTTTAAAGGTATTACACATTTTACAAAATTGTTTAGTAAGTCAAAAAACTAAAGTTGGAAATATGGCCGTTACTATTTATTATTTATACAAATGATATCTCTGACATTTTAGAACACTGCAAAATTCAAATATTTGCGGACGATACACTTATATATATGGCACATAAGCATTTGGACACTGCTTTAGAACTGTTAAATAGTGATATTGAAAAAATTATTAATTGGTTAAATGTCAATAAACATAAATTAAACGCTAATAAAACAAAATGTATGTCAATAGGGGAACATTTAGGTGACAATACAATTAGGCTCATGATTAATGATTGAAAAATTGAAGGAGTCGAGTCATTTAAATATCTTGGTATATATGTGGATAATAAGCTACTGTTTCACGAACATTATGAATACATTATTTCAAAAATATCGAAAAAGATAAATTACTTCTATAGAGTTTCCCATAACCGTACTATGTATACCAAGAAAATTGTGTATAACACTAGAATTCTTCCCCATTTTTTATATTGTTCCACCATCTTGTTTACAGCAAATGAAAACATATTTTCTAAATTACAAATTCTATAAAATAAAGCTATAAGAATCATTTTAAATAAAAACAAATATGCTTGGATTAAGTCTATGTTAGAAGAACTGCAGTGGTTGGATGTGAAAAATTTCTTACATTATTTAGTTCCTATTCAAATTAAAAAATCATTTATTACCACCACATTTAGGAAACGTCACAGAATTAAATAGAAATTATCATAACTACGAAACTAGAGGCAGTATAGATTTTCATCTGCAAAATTGTAATAGTAGCATAACTAGTGAATCTATATTTCAAAAAGGAGTATTTGAATTTCCTAAATTGAATAATGATATTAAGCAGAGTCCGAATTTAAAAATGTTTAAGGTGAAATTAAAAAATCATTTTATGAATAATCAAAATACATACGTATAGTAAATTAATTTTAGTAGACAATAATGTAAAATTACAGAAAATGGATTGAACAAAAATATGTAACCGAATCATTATACAAAATTGACATTGTATATATGCTATATATATCTTCAACAAGAAAAAAAAGTTACCATGGTCCCAAAGTCTTGGGTGAAGAATTTTAAATCTAGAAGCTTTACATCCTTACTATCGGCAAAATGTGCAATGTCCGCAATCCACTCGTTTCAACACATATTTTTTAGAAAAGTCTGATGCAACATTTTCAATGGCCACCTGTTCATGCACGTATTGCCACAACGCTTAAATGCAAACTCATACTTAGCTTTTCTAGAGTATCATATAGAAAATGTGTTATCAACGCAAGTACGAATGTGATACCAGCATGACGGTGCCCCACCACATGTTCGTCGTGTCATAACCGCATGGTTAAATAATCATTTTAGACAACGATGGATTGGCAGAAATGGACCCGTATATTGGCCTGCGAGGTCTCCTGATTTGAACCCTCCGGATTTCTTTTTGTGGAGCGCTTTCAGACAACTAGTGTACAGTGTGCTGAACAAATTAATACAGTTGATCAGTTACAAGAAAGAGTAGATAATGCGTTTCATCAAATTCAAGCTACAACAAATTTTGCGAAAATACGTTTTTCTTTATTAAAAAGATACACAAGTTATTATTTGTATCAAATTGAATCCGCCACTGATGCACGTTAATTTAAGTAAAGGCTTTGAATGTGGTAAACCCCCACACCAAATTTTAGTTCATTCCAGTTGACGGCTTTGAAGTTATAAAACAAAAGTTTTTTCATTCTTCAACTTCAACACCCTGCATCTTTTTAATGAATCCCTTGAGGAAAAAACGTTACATCGCTTAATATGCGGTCCTGTGTATAATGTTTCATTTTTGGTCACGACTTGTGAATCACTCTGTATACTAAGATCGAAAATTAAGATATACCCTTTATCCACCATGTACAACCTCAACTCTCAAGTTTTAAGCACTATAAGAATGAAAATGATCAGGAACCTCTGAAACGCACAAAAATGAAAATTGAGCGATTTCTATTTTCTCGCCACTGGACCTACTTTCAAAAGCCATAACGCTTTTTTGTTCTGCGTCAGCTTAGTTATCTTGTTAGAAAAATCCGTGCGATACTTTCTATAGAGTTGTCAAAAATCAGACACACCGACAGACAACCAGTAATGGCTATCCAAACGCGAAGCAGCAGGACTGAATTAGAATAAATATTAATTTACTAGTTTCAATATAATTTTGAGTATTCACGTTTTATATTTTTCAGTGCTAACACTACCATTTAAGGGTATTATCAAAGTTATTCTTAATGGTGGCCTTAACAAGGCTTAAATAAAAAACAGCGTCAAGTAGATTGACTCTTGAATTGAATTTTGAAAAAGGCCACCGAGGCGGCCAAAACGTTAGTAAGCTCCCACTTCAACATCCGTGGTTCCATTTATGGGACAGCAGAACATGGATATTGAAAGGGATATGTTTGGTAAGGTCGATAAATACTCGGATAATGGAACAAAAATTTATCTATATCGTTTTGAAAATATTTGACTACACATTAAGCATTTAATTTGATGCTGCATTCCAATCTTCCTTAATAATATCAGCAGCCTTTTCTCCAACCATGTAAGCTGGACCGACAGTGTGTGCTGCTACCGTCGTAGGAAATATGCTGACATCGACCACTCTCAGGTTTTTGATCCCATGCACCCTAAGTCTTGGGTCCACGACCGCCTCTTTATCTGTCTCTGGTCCCATTTTGCAGGCACATTGCTGGTGCCACGTGGATGATGGCATGGATCGGATTGCACACTCCCAGTACTCATCAGAGTCAAAAGCTAAATTCTCGCAACCTAGAGCCAATATAAGAACGCTAAATTATTATTATGTGATTTGATCTGTGATATTACGTAAAAATGCTGTTATAACTGCATTATCTGTTCGTAACGATTAGTCTTAATGTGTGTAGCTTACTTAAGAAAATTGACAACTGCAGGTTTACAGGGTGCCACAATATGGAAAACGTTCATATAAGCAGAGCTTCAAGAATCAAACTACAAATGTGTTTTGATTTATGTTTATAGCTGGACATTTCAGCCACCGTGATGAAATTAAAACAGATATGTGGTTGGTTGGATTGGAGTCCTATGAACATAAAAGCAACAGGCTACGTTTCAGTAGTTACATTGAACATAGGCTTGGTCTCATATAAGGGGTGTTTAAAGTTGCTTGTCTTTGACAGCTCAGCTCACATTTTACGAAAACAGATTGGGATATCAAAAAGAGTTCTCAAATCTTCATCAATTTTTTTTATAAAGGAATTCGTGAATGCATTTAGCAAAAAATCGGACTTTTCTAAAAACTAGTATCAATATCCCAAAACCATATTGATTCTACTGCCTCTTATTAGGGGTTTTTCTCGGGATGCTCGGTTTTCGATATAAAAATTATTTTATTAAATCCCAGATCAATCTGTTTATCATTATAACAAAAACTGCAAGAAACATACATTTTTATCATACCCATGGAAAAGAGAATTTCCTGGCTCATGGTTATATAAAATTCACATTCTGTAACACCCTTTTTAGCAGGATTATGATTTTTCCTCAGACTGCTATTAAGCTAAATAGAACTCCAGAATCTAATTGATCGGGGTATTCGAATACTGAGTTTAAGAATATTATTCGAAAGAAGGTTTTTATTTTTACCAAAGAATGGCGTTTCTGCGATCTTTGCTCCAAATTTCTGCAGAGCAGGTTGTCTGGCGATCCTTTGAACCTGTCTGATCCCAACGATCATTCTCTTAATATCCAAATTCTTTGGATCAGTAAAGTAATTTAGGGTATACTTCGCTTCTTCAAAAGGATTGGTCGAATTCAGTTTTATGTAGCCTTTTGAAATAGGATGGAGCAATATTATAATTGGCTAAAAATAAAAAAGAAGCTGTTGGAGATATTGTATTGGAAAGTGGATGGACTATAATAATAATAATTTATTGGGGCCACCACACATATGTCTGCACATGTCAGTTTTACATTAAGTTAAAATAAAACATCAAAGGTAAGTATGAACATATAATAAGATTAACATAAAACAAAGACAAGTGGCAATAGAATAATAGAATAAAGTCCTCATTACAGGCCTTAATGATATGCGAATATCTAAAGGTGTGAATCTACATGAAAAAATAAAGTTAGTTTTCTTTATAAACCATGGTCCAAAAGTGTTTCCTTACAAAAACTCGGAGTGTTGAATTGAAGTTTTAGGAAAAAATATTATATATATAAGATGCCCCTTCCCACTTCAGTTGGGCCACTTTAAGATTTGTACCAAAATATGTCTCTATAAACTAAACATGACGAAACTATTTACTTCTCAAACAATTTATTTTCTCAAAAACATTTTAGATACACTCTAGTCGTAAAAATACGTATTTGAAATCACTTAGACCTATAACTAAACGAACATCTGAACAAATAAACAATATGCAAATAAATGCGAGAAGTTAACAAAGCAACAATTGAAAGATTACCATTGGGTAATATCACCTTGATTGTTTATTACGGCTCAAATTCTTTGGGGCATAGTGTTACCCAGTTTTGGCAAAAATTTGGTGTAAAACAATCCCATATTTCTTGAAGCTTTTGTCTCAGTTCGGTGATTGTACGAGCAGGATGTTGTCCTAAAACCTTTTTCATCTCGTGCCACAAAGTTTCAATAGGTGACAGATCTGGACTGCTAGAAACCCATTTCAAAAGTGGTACATTATTTTCTTCCATCCATTTTATAGCCTTTTTTGAGGTATGGCACGCTTCATCATCTTGCTGAAACACAAAATCTTGGCCGGATGTCAAACATTCTTCCATCACTGGTAAAAGCGATTCTTCTAAAATTGCCAAATATTTGTTTGTATCCACATTTCCATCAATAAAATGATGTTTTCCTACTCCTTTTGATGACATACTGCCAAAGACCATAATGGATGCTGGAAATTTCACTTTTCTCTTCAGACAGTTAACATGGAATGCTTCATTTTTTTGCGAATGACTCTACTGCGACTGTCACCAACACAAACTTCGAATCGGGCCTCATCACACCATTGTATTGCACACCATTGTTGAGGTGTCCATCGTCTATGTTCTTTAGCCCATCTAAGCCGATTTTTATTTTGCAGTGGAGTTAATAGTGGATTTTCTTTGGCCTATAAACAAGTTGTGCAACTTTAGGGTTTTTACTTCAATTTTTTTATAAGTAAACTTACCTTGCAACCGCTAAATGGCAGTTAGTGGGCCTCTCTATGAGTTGTGGACATCGAAATTCTCCTTCCAACAGCGTCACTCCACAGAGCACTTAATTGTAAATAATTGGCACGCCTGATTTCACGATTATTCTTCTTAATGCTCTTCGGTCGGCATTTGTGATATTACTTTTTTCACATATCGTGGCTTAATATTAACTGAACCAGTTACGTTATATCTTCTAACAATATTTCTCACACTGTACCGCGATAAGTCTAACAAAGTTGCAATTTCTGAGTTTGATTTCCCAGAATTAAAAAATGTAATTATCAGTAACCGAATTTTCTCACTAATAACCTTTCCTCTACCCATTTTGAAAACCTTAACTACCCAAAACTATTTTAAACGTATTCTGACAGCTGTGGTTAATAAAAACAATTGTCATGGCTTTTATTTTTCATAGCCACCTATGCGTTATAGACTTATTTTGCATTGAAATGAAAATAGGTTGATATGCTGTAATTGCAACATGTGTCATTTTTATGCTGCAAATTTGATTAGGGAGTGATAAAGTTGGTGTTTTCTACTATATATTATCAAAATATTCATTGTTAATATTTTAAACCTATAACACCCTGCTACATTTTCATTATTTGTGTTTGATAAGAAAAAAACTAAGATTTCATAGTTGGGCCAACTTAAGTGGGAAGGGGTATATATATACAGCTACTTGTTAATTGGGAAATTGGCAAAACTTTTAGGCTTAAGTTGACTCTTTTGACGATAAAATCAAGCTTTCGGCATTCTCTATGGAGCATTCATCAGGATTTAAAATTATATCAATACACCCGAACAAGTTAAAAATATTACACGTGGGGAGACATTTTGTTGAAACAATCGGAATGCAGTCCCTAACCTTCTACTTCCGCTACACGTGGAGAGGGGGAAGGCACGAAAGGTAAAGCGTCGACAGAAGACAACTGATTGACGCGACGGACCGTGGAAATGTACACCTCCCTGTCCAACTTTGGGTATGAAGTATACGAGGGACGCTCGGTAAATCTCCACCCAAAATTACTAAAATGCTGAAATAACTTGTTTTGGAAAAAAGTGCGTAGTTCATACGAGTGCAGAATGTGTGATATTGATACAACCTTGAAAAGATGGGTTATGTGAGTTTATATTCAAAATGTGAGTGAGAAAATGTATTCAAGTTTTGTGAAGATGTTGGTTCAATTTGGATATGTAGCCGTTCTAGCTTTTCGCAATTCAACAGGTAGGAATAAATGACACTGAGCTGCTTAACATCAGCCTTTTTATTCATGCAATGATCTGTCATGAAAATGTGGGACATTTCTAAAAATAAACGTTTTGAGAGTCTTTTTTCTTTATCAAGAATCTCAATACTGCCATAATTCATACAGTGACCTGTGTTGTTAATATGCGATGCCAAAGCACATCTTTCTGGATGTAATCTGACATCACTTTTGTGTGACGTTATCCTGCCTTTCAGCGACCTAGAAGTTTGGCCTATATAAACTAAATTGCAGTTGTTGCAATTAATACGATAGACTGTATTGAATCAAGCAACTGAACCTTATCCTTCATTTTGGACAACAAACTGTTGACTGTGAGCACTGATTTACAAGCAAAACGATAATTAAAGGAATTATACAGCCTGATCAATGTTGGTGTTAGTTCTTTGATGTTTGGCAAAACAACATAATTAACTCTGGAAATACGGCAACCACTGTAGTGCTGTTGTTCTCATTAGTTGAAGAATTAATGGGTATCTAGTTGGATTGACCCGTGTTGTTTTGGATTCAAGATTGTCTCGTACCAATGACAATATATTACTGGTAGACTGGTACAGGAAACCAATTTCTTCCGGAAGGTTCCTGATAAGCTAAAAATTATTTTTGCAGTGAAAAACATGCAACTTCATTAACTTTCACTACATACTAAATATGAGATATTTGAAGCGGTTCTTAAAATATTAATTAATTTCCATTTTTTTTCCTAAAACTTCAACACGCCGAGTTTTTGTAAGGACCATAGTTTATAAAGCAAACTAACATTAATCTTTCATGTAGATTCACATCCTTAAATATTCGCATATCATTAAGGTACACCCTGTATATTTTTCATTTCATTAGAAAGAAAATTATTTTGAATAACGGAGGATGGTACGAGCACACTGTACAAATATTGTTGTTGTAAACTGTTATAGTATGTTAGGTATTGCAAATACTCTAGGTCGGCGGAAGTGTTACCTCGCATTACCTAGCAACAAAGATTATATCGAGAAAAGTTTGCCATAATCGAATTAAGGTATTTTAGTATGGGAGTAAAAGCCCACGGAGTGTCTAAATTTCGGCAATTCATTCTTTCTGTGTAGAAAATATCACTTCAATTGATTAAGGTAAACTGATTCAAAATTCAGTTCCAAGATTTGTTCAACACATACTAACACACGAACAGATCAAGTTAAATAAAAGCTTGTAATAAATCACTTGACTTACTGTAAAAGCTGGTTTGCCGAATAATGGTTTGAAATGAGCCTCAAATGCCTGGTCACCAACATTCATCTGTTGCCTGAAAAATATTCCAAAGTCTGCAGCTAGTGAAGATGGCATAAACAGCAGTTCTATATCTGGTCTTTTTGTTTCTATATCTGTTAAGTTTGAGTTGAAAAATGCCAATGCATCTACCACTAAAAATAACAAGAACGATATTTTAGTATCTTAGCTTTGCGATGTACGTTGGTGGTGCAGATCTAACATTGCATAAATAACTACGAACCGATAGATGCAATTGGTCCTTTACGATGAACTAGGAAATCCCAATGTGTTTTGGGATTCAGAACATTCTGTACCATTTCGAAACCGATATGCTCATTTAAGAGGAACATAGCTCCTGCAAATCCCACGTGATCGTACATCGTTTCACCAACTGGAAGTGGTTTGATGACTGGTATGCCTAAAAACGAAGTAATGATTGAAGACACCTAAAATAACTAGTTAACTAGCACCCACGCCAACGCCTTGCTCGGTTTGAGTTAGCGCGTCTCAGGAAGCAGTTGTTTATGAAAATGGAAACAGATTCAATGGATCAGGTCAGTCCAATAGCCTGACACAACCAAATCGCTCGTTTAACAAAAACGACATAAGCCACTAAGACGCAGTTTTACAGGAGAGGTATTAAACGAGATTATTGAATAAAATGAATCAATCAAGTATCTAAACTACTTCAAACTGATGTAGAAACATGCTTCTAATATAAATAATATACATAATACTTTTTTTCGGAACGCGCGCTTACTAATATAGAGGCGTTTTGTGGTAAAAAGGGAATTTCGTAAAACAGTGACTTATGTCGTTTTTGAAACGAACGATTCAAGTAGTCGCCAGTCTCCATGCTATGCACCCCCTAATATTCAGTATACTTTTGTGCATCATCATTCCATTTGAGTGAAACGCTAAATACTTAGTTATGCCACTTGACACCAGGCTAAAGTGGAAACACCACATCAAAAAATCGGGGAGGAACTGAATCGCCTCTACAAGCATTATTATTGGTTATTGTGAAGATCTTCAAAACTATCGCTCCATAAAAAAATTATTTTCTTAAGGCCTGTGCGGTTGTATTATGGCCAACTATGAGGCTGTTCAAAGACCAACATCAAAATTATTCAAAGATGGCAAAATAAAGTTCTGCGGACATGGCACATGCCCCTAGGTATGTTCGTAGTAGTGCTATTAATCGCGATTTGAATATCCCTCTGGTTTCCGACGAGATCAAAGAAGTAGCGGTCGGGCACGAAGAATTAGCGACATCTTGCAGCCACAGCGGTAATCCGACTGACAATGTGAACAGGGATATATATATATATATACAATATATACAAAAGTATAAGGACATCATCAAAAAAATCTATTTTTTAAATTTGTGCCTGGTTTTTATTGTGTTTTATTATTAAATCTTGTATATAAATTAGAAAACAGACTATATTGTTAAGATTTATATCCATTTGCATTAAATTAGCTAATAATTATTAGTCGAAATGATGAAATTATGAAGGAATCAAAAATTCTTATTTCTTATTTACGCTGTAATTTCAAGTATAATAACTATTATTTTATTCTGAAGTATTCAAATATTGACGCTAGTGTCTTAAACAGTCACTCTGAATCATTTGAGTGCCTGCATTTGTATTCTGTGTGTACTAGAACTATCAAATTAATTCCCAGCATTGTTTACACGGGCAAAACCGATTATATTTGCTGAAAATGGCTAGAAAAATTCACTTGAAAAACGTTCACAAATACTTATTTTGAGAAAAGGTAAAACAATTCGTGAAATTGCAAATATTGTTGGTGTTTCGAAGTGTGGAGTGGAAACCACATTAAAGCGGTTTGCTGAAACCAACTCAAATCTTAATCGAAAACGCTCTGGCTGTGAGAAAAAGGTTATTTTGGTCGCGTTGCTGTGCAGAAACCACTTCTACGGCCATAAAGCGGAAAAGATTATTGTTTGCTCGAAAATATAAAAATTGGTCAGTTGATCAGTGGACGTCTGTGTTATGGACCGACGAATCAAAGTTCGAGATTTTTGGATCTAGGCGACGCCAATATGTTCGTCGGAATAAAGATGGGCGTTATAATCCCCAATGTATTGCTCCAACTGTTAAACATGGCGGAGGCTCCGTGATAGTCTGGGGGGTTTCAGCTACGATGGTGTTGGAAAATTGGTCAAAGTCGAAGGAATAATGCGGAAGGAACACTATCACAATATTCTTCAACGAAATGCCATTCCAGCCGGCATTGGTTTGATCGGCAACGGATTTATCTTTCAACAAGGCAATGATCCCAAGCACACCTCCATAAACTATCTATGGTCCAAGGAAGGTGTGCTCAAAATCATAGATTGGCCGCTGCAATCCCCTGACGTGAACCCGATCGAATTATTAGAGATTTTTTCGCGAGATATCGTAATAAACCGGAGTGGGAACAGATGGAATTTCCCCTTCCTCTCGAAGTTTTGACAGTTTCAAGTTCAACCGGGAGTGGTTAGATGGCGCATGTTGTGCAAAAATGTTTGCTTTAAGCTCCTTGATAAACTTAGCTGCCTTGTTTGAATCTGAAATAACAAGACTGATCGTTTTTTGTGCAATGTACTTATATATCAATGGAATCAATCATTTGATATGAAAAGTGCGGTTCATATATCTTCGATGACCTTCTCCCTCGTCATTTCAAATCAGGTGGACGTGTTTCTCCATTTATGATTTAATAATTTAACTCAATTTTCAACAGTGCGAAGACAAATTTTCAATTGAGATGCCTGTTTTTAGATGCCATTGACATAAGACCTGTCACCCGCTAGTACCTCACAGACGTTAGGCGGGTACCCGCACCACGTGATTTTTTGGCATTCGGACGAACGTCACATCCGTCTTCCCCTATACCCGTTCTTCGCGAAAATTTGAGTATCGGTTCCCGGTAGTGCACTGTGCTACACCGTGGACTCGCGAAAAAATCCTTATTGTGGGATGAGCTCGACCAGCAGGTGAAGAACATGCACGTGACCAGTGAAAAACAGTCTAAAAGTGGCTTGGGTGAATATCGCAAACACTTCAAAAATATGGGCTGCAATCATCAAAGCACAAGGTGGACACATGAAAAAAACCTAATTTGACTTGTCACGATAATGGCAAATTAGTCTTTTTTCTAGTTTTTAATAGATTCGATCGCAAAATGATGTTTAAGACAAGAAAAACCAATCACAAACTCCAACACACAGCTTGCTGTTTTCACTTTCGCTGTGATCGATTCTGGTAATAGATGGCACTTGTGCTGCCTTATTTTGATAGATCTTACCAATTTCTTCAAGGTGACTCTTCGGTCCAATACCGGACAGCATTAGTATCTTAGGAGAATTCATGCCTCCGGCAGACAGAATTACTTCTTTTTTGGCTTTCACTGTGTATATTTTACCATTTTTCTTGTACTCTACGCCATAAGCTTCTTTCGTGTCAGGTTTTATCAGTATTTTTGTTACGTAAGCACCTATACGTATCTTCAAATTCTGTCTCTGTCGACTTGGACGAAGGTAAGAGTTTTCTGCATTTGATCTCATTCCGTTTCGTAGGGTCGCTTGCATATGCGATATCTGTAAAAGAATGTAATCAGTAGGAACACTTTTGAGTCAAAATCGTTTTTTTACGATACGGCTCATGATGTCGATACGAAATACATTTTGTCTAACCAGGGAGCGTTAGAAGTCATAAATAATCGGTACTCCCATTGCACAAAACAAAAATTACCGTGAACGACTTATGGTTAGTCATCCATCAGGCGCGGAACCAGGGGGAGGTCATGGGGGTCATTAGTTCGTCCACCAATTTCTGAAGTTCCAAATTTCTTAGATAAATCTGTAATGCACAGATACTAAATGGATGTTGTACTGGTATTTTCTACTAAACACTTGCAGCACTGCATCCATCAACTTTGATTTAACTGTCAGCTCATAGATGATAGCGCAAGACTGGTCAGCGGTCAGCTTGATGTAGGAAAGACTTTTTTTTTTGGCTTTAGGACTAAGCCATGCAGCCAGAAACTAGGTTGTTATATTTACATTTCTAATTATGGACAAACACACGCCGTCACAACATCCATGGCGAAGGCGAGATTCGAACTCGCGGCCCGGCCGGCCGGCTGATCAGTAGCACGACACTCTGACCCACGCGGCCAACCGAGGTCCCAATAGGAAAGACTTCTTCGCACGCTGTGAGCAAATTTGATAAAAAATATTTTATGACGGACCAGTGGCGGATTCAAGGAAAGAGCCCGGTCGGCAATATACAGGGTGACTTTGAAGTTGAGTCATTAATTTTCAGATAATGATTGTAGAAGGAAGATAAACCAAAATATGTGTGTAAAAATAAAAAAAAATAAAAAAAATGTTACCTTGTTTAATAAAGTATCCTCCCGACAAGTATTTCAGTGCGGACCTGTATTTGATCGTGCTGTCTTGGAGCACCGGCATGACTCACCTGTGAGGTCTTAAGTCACCTGATTCACGAGCCCTTTGTACTACATTAACAAAGGCACGAGGGGTTGGTTGCACTCGATTGAGAAACCGATTCGCATAAATCCGTGATGCATCCGGCAGCATTTTGTAAAGACTGCCCCCCCCCGTAAATAAGAATCATGTCCACAAGTTCAGCATTTTCGTAAACATGTGCCATTTTTCATTTCGTTTGAGTCACGCAACAAACATCACTATTCACCCACGCGTTACCGACTGACGAAAAACAACGTGATAAACGTTCCAAATTGTTTCGCTTTTTTGTTTCCGATGCGATGAACCGATATCCGTTGTTGCCAAACACATAATATTATTATTGAGACAGGGCGGTACTCAAACTTCCAAAGGGCTATAACTTTGTTCCTTTAATTTTACCAGAAAAATGGTAAAGGAAAAAAACATTTCTTTTGATCAGATCTACTCACTGTTAAAATAAATGACTCAACTTCGAAGTCTGCATGTATATGCACTGGGGGGCCCAGTGGTATGATCGGGGACAGACGGCAAATAGTGCGAACTGTAACTGTATCGCGAATAACATAAATTACTGCAATTATTGACAAATAAAATACGGCAATGGAAACTTTGAAAGTTGCATGATAACTCAGAAATTATTATCAAAATTTAATGCGTAATTTCATGTTAGTGCAATCGTACATCAGCCTGGTTTTTGCATTTAATAGTGCGCATGGGCACGGGACAGGATGTAATGCGCATCGTAATTTTTTGAAGTAAATTAAACTTGATGATTCACCAGCAAACTTCTTGTGCAGAATAGAGTTTAAAAGTTATCACGGATGCTACCGATAAGTAAAAGGTGTCGAGTCAAAGGAGTGCACGCTATTTATAGAATTTGCATACAATTATAATTAAGAAAAAAAAACAAATATGATAGACAGTTGTTGTCATGTTTGCCGTGATTAATATTTCATTGAATACAAACTTGATGAACAACAGTAAAATACGTTAAATAACGATTACTACAGGATATATACTAGACACTATTTGCGAAAGTGATATTCTCCACATTTGCAAATTAACGAGGGCAACTGAGAATAAAAAAAATAGAAAGACCTGCACAAGTAACCGAAACAAGCTCATGGATAGTGCAAAATGTTTTTTAATAGTAATTTGACGCAAATAGTTAACCTGGTGCTGCTTCAACGGGCCAATAAAACAACTAATTCAACTGTTTCAATATTCACGCGGATCTAAAAATTTTCGATAACGTGAAATCCATCTAAATTGTTCAGATAAAGTTCGAACTACAGATTTTGCTGGCAATAAGGATGTCACATATTAACAGGAGCTTACAAATATATGCACAATAGTAGCTGCTGCGCACTCTTACCTCTGTTTTTTTACTATATGTCTATATAACCTTAATCAAGTAGAGACTGTGAAATCAAACATCTTTTATTCAATACAAAATAACAGAATTATTCTAATTTGAATCCGCGTCTTGCTTTTCGTTCAGCAAAAATGTTCATCGCAGAATCCAAATTGAGTGTATTAGCTACTGATCTTTCGATATAGACTAATTCGTTTTCTTTTAGAGTGACTAATTTCTCTGGCATCAAAAAACCAAACACATCATTCACTTCACGAAATCCTTCAGTACGTTCTTGCAATTCGTTATTCATTGAATCCAAAACTTCGTAGTAATTTATTCTATGTTTCCAGTGACGAGTCAACAGTTTTTTCGTCGAACAATTTTTTGATTTTCCTCTTTCTGATAATGGGGCAACCAGGATTTTCCAATTCCATCTCTTCCCATTTATTCTTAGCCTTCAGAACAAAATTATCGTATCTGGTTTCGCTCCTCAAATCTGTTAAGTTTTTTAATGCTGCTGAAATGCACCTTTGAGCCATCAAGTCAATTTCTTTCTTTTGCATTTGATACACGATATTAGCACGAAGAAAATAGATATGTCATCAAGTAAAAAAATGCACAGCATTGTGAAGGTTTATGGTTATAAGCATTGAAGACGTGAAAAGACTGTAATAGACCAATTAGAGTCTTTATTAGACTGAAAGCGGCTGATTCATACCACGAAGATATTTATTTACTGAACATTATAGGTAATAATACAGGGTGAAAACGTTATGATAGTAATTATTTAAATGGGTGACAGAAGGGGTTAAAAGAAGCAAAAAGTTTCATATGACATGGGAGTCAAGGCATTTTTTTAGAGAAAAGCGACTTTAAAGTAAAATAAAATCTGACAACGCCGCAATGTCGTCCTCCACTTTCCACACAAGCTTCATTACGACCTTCACGAATGGTATGAGGATTTTGTTGGGCCCACGTGTGAGTATTATGGAAATTTAATCACGTCTCACGTAAAAGTTCATTCGTCCGTCGCTAGAATGTTTTTAAAAAAATCCGGATTTTCAATGTTTTTATGCAAAAACCACTAACAGAAAGGTAGTCTGCGAGGATAGTCTTCAGGTAACAAGGCCTGCACTCGTTGTACATGCTAGGGATAAAGCAAATTTTTCCGTAAAGTTCTGTGGACTATGGTATGCGATAGTCCTACGCGGCGGCCTAATTCCCGAGTGCTGATATCTGCATTGATTTCCATGATATTTAAAATTTATTCCTCTTGCTCTACAGTAAGTCTTTCACGTGTGTGAGTATTAGTGGGCTGAACACTTCCTGTATCTCGAAGTCTTTGGTACACTTGCACAAATGTCCTTCTGTCTGGGTGTACCCGTTGACGAAATCTGTCGCGATAAATATGAGCTGCAAGATTTGAATTCTGACGTGCTTCACTGTAAACTAACAACATGTCGGCGAACTCTTGATTCGAGAACATTGTAAATCAAGAAGACGTACGCGAACAAAAGCAAAACAACATACTAACCACTGCTACCATTTGCGATCGATTGTTGGTTCTATAAGAGTGATGATGACCGATGCGCTGTTGTCATGTGTGTTTCAAATATTCAATTTAATGAGACTCACTTACTTACTGACTACAAATTTTGGCTTAACTTAGAAAAACTTAATGCCATTTATTTGTTAATTACCCAATTTAAAAACGTTTCACATTATATTATGAAAATTATTAAGATTGTGGTGATTGTGGTCGATATAAAGCACTTAAAGTTGTAACCTATAAAGCCATTTAGACAAAAATCTATTGACTTTTGGACCAAGGGTCATATGAACTTTTTGACTCATTTTGACCCCAATGATTACCCATTTCAATAATGACTACCATAACGTTTACACCCTGTATATCACTGTTTCATAAACATTACCCCCCCCCCAATCAAGTAGGTTGCTTCAGTACTCTCCACACATTAGAATCTGTTTTGCTCTACACTTTTTCCTCAGATTACTGTTAAGAGAATCGAATCCTTCAAACTTCTTTACAGTCAAATTGGCTACACAGAAATTTTGAGCGTTGTTAGCGAAATATGCAAGTACAGCTTTCGTACAAATTGGCCCGAATATTATCACCAAAAGCAGTCAAAGTATCAAGAACGTAAATCTTGACCAACAGCGTCTCGCTACCTCTTTGAAGAAGGAATCGCTGAAAGGCTGGCTCGACACCGTGAAATGGAGTAAGCGCGAAATCCCGACTTTCGCCGCTGACGTGCAAACTTAAAACAAAATGGAGTGACAACACAAACAACTGCAGATACAAGAGGGGGAGGCACATGTACCCTTAAAAGATACAAAGTGCTAGCACATCTGCAACTAGAGAGATCGAGCTAGAAGAAGCTCTAAAGGGTGCAGGAGATCACATCAAACACGTCACGAAGGCAAATAGAAGAGTTGTCTCGGACCTAGACAGCGACGGCCTTAACGTGGCGAGTAAAATGATATAGTGAGCTCCAATAGTAGAGCAAAAGCAGCAAGTTGAGGAACTCCTAATCAAGAACCTTAAATTGCTGCTTGCAGAACAATGACATCCTTATGATACGAACATTTTCAAACATCCCGTATTTCTACTATGGCCCGAAATAACCACAGAAAGTAGAAAAACCTCAAATAACAAGGTGTTAACCTTCATGAACTTTTGTACTGCGTCAAAAAATAATCCGCAATTCGGAAAACATTCAAAAAATTAAGTTTGTTGACGTTCTCAAATTTCCCTTTTTGATTGATCCTCTGCCTTCCACCACTGAAAGCATTTAAGGTGATCTACTACTGCCATCGCATAGCTCTGTGTCAAAATGGTATTTGGTTTAATATAACAATGTAATTCAATTCGGTTTCCGGTCCGAGAGATTCACCCTCAGCATGAGTACTGGCATCTTGTTTTTGGATGTCTCAAAAGCGTTTAATAAGGTGTGGCACGCGGGCCTCATCTATAAACTAGTTCAAAGGGGTTTTACTATTTAGCTTCCAAAATTACAGAAATCCTTTCTTGAAGGAAAGAAATTTCGGATAAAAATTAACAATGTTTTGTCAACAACACGGCCAGTACGGGCCGGTGTTCATCAGGGCTCGTGATGTCCCTTGCCCCAGCAACTGTGAAGTCTACCTCTACGCTGACGACACTGCACTTGTCGCCCAGTCGTGTACTGGTGATCTGGTTCACGATAGGTTGCAGAGTGCGGTGGACGAAGTACTAGAGTGGACTGATTAAAATTAATCATTCCAAAGCCCAGGCTACTTATTGTACCAAAAAACGTCACGGCCCCCCAGCCGAGGTTTCTGTAAGCAGAAATCGTATACCATGGGCAAATTCTGCCAAGTATCTTGATGTTACCCTTGATAAAGGCATGGTCTGACAGAAACATACAACAGCCTTGAACACAGAATTCCAAATTGCGTTTCGGCAACTATATCCTTTGTTATGTAGATCCTCCAAATTGAGCTTCATAAACTAAGTTCGACTATATAAAATGATTATTAGAACAGGGTTACTAATGCATGCGTGGTCTAGTGTTTTCTTGCCAAGTCACACATGCAAAATCTTCAAGTACTGCAAAGCAGAACTTTACGAACAATTTGCAACGTTCCATGGTATGACTCAGTGGACTACACAGTGGAACAAGTTCGTAAACATTCTAGACCACGGCTCGCACTGTGATCAAAAAAATTAGTGCAAACTTTAAGAAAGCTCTCAAACAAAACCTGAATCAAAATTTGTTTTTAGTTCAGCTCAAAATTAATACGTCTTTAACGCCTTGGTGTTTCCTGTTAAACTAATACACTTTTTTTCTGTGCTCTTCTGCTTTTTTCTTCTCTTTCCTTCCACTTTTTCCTTGACACTGCCTAGTTTCTAGGCAACCAGGATTATGAGTAAAGTGTCTCTTGTGTAATGTCTCTAATGTGTAATGTGTCTCTCTCACTGCTTATGGGTGAAGCGAGTTCGTCAATAGCTCGGGTTATATTGGTGCTCAATATGCTGATAACAGTGCGTGCTCGTAAAATTCGCCTGTCTGACAAATATTTGCAGAGTGATTTTACTGGCCCTGTAGTGTGTTTTTATTTTATAAGGCTGTGATTTCAGTATAAACTCAAAATAAAGATCTTACCCCTATTTGCTGCTTGCCATTATAGTCTACGTAGGGGTAGCCAGCTTGTTGTGCAGCCTCTATGTAAACGTCTGTCAATTTTGTTCTGTAAGAAACACTGCTAACGCTCAGAGGTCCTCCTGTTCCGCGATATTGAGAATCGTTCCATGCAACATTTGAGGCGTCTTCTAGTTTGCAGAAGTAAGGCAGCACATCTCTATACCCCCAACCAGGATTACCCATTTCTTCCCACTTATTATAATCCCCCTCATTGCCTCTGACAAATATCATAAGATTGATGATAGAGCCTCCCCCTAAGCCTTTTCCGTGGCCACTACTGGCTCCTTTGTCCAAACAGCCTAAAACGTATTATGAAGTTGTAGTGAGTAACTTTAGTGAACTTGAGATTTATTGGAAAATAACTAAAATAAAATAGTATATATATATATATATATATATATATATATATATATACATAGTCATGCCATAAGTTCTGTCCCTCGTTTTCAAACAAGTGTAGACCTGTTAATACTTGTCCGATTGTTTACATTGTGGTGTCAGTTGATTAAGCGCTTTTCGGGTAATTACATATACCTCAGTTTGTATTGATCTCTCGAAGCATAACGATGGAGTGGGGCAAGGCAGAGAACCGTATTGCAGTGATAGCTTTACATAAGTGTAATCACAGTGCTAGTCAGATTTTTGAACTCTTACGCGGCCTTCAAATATCGCGTAAATTTGTGTCTAGGACCATTCAGCGGTACAATGAGACGTCCTCTGTTGATGACAGGCCAAGAAGCGGAAGACCTCGTCAAGTAAGGACTCCAGCAGCCATCAAAGCCGTAAAAGCCAGGATTCAAAGGAATCCACTCCGGAAGCAGAAGATCCTATCCAGGGAAATGAAGATTCCTGTCCGGACGATGTCGCGCATCATTAAACAAGACCTAGGGCTAGGGGCTTACCGGAGACGTACGGGCCAGCGACTTACGGCCACCTTGCGACACATCAGGGCGACAAGATCCAAGAAGCTCTTGGAGAGGTACGCAGCTGGGGGATTCCGAAAGATTTTGTTCACGGATGAGAAAATCTTCACCATAGAAGAAAAATTCAACCGACAAAATGACAAAGTGTATGCAAGGAGTTCACAGGAAGCTTCGGAGATCATTCCGAGAGTTGAGAGAGGCCACCACCCTGCGTCAGTCATGGTTTGGTGGGGGGTGTTCTACGAAGGGGTCACTCAGCTCCATTTCTGTAAACAGGGCGTGAAAACAAAAGCGGCAAACTATCAGAACGACATACTGGATCCTATCGTCAAGCCTTTAAGTGGTACATTGTTTGCCAACCAACACTGGGTCTACCAGCAGGATTCCGCCCCCGCTCACAAGGCTAAGAGTACGCAGCGCTGGCTGGAAAGCAATGTGCCAGAGTTCATTGCTGCGGAAGATTGGCCCTCAGGGAGTCCGGACCTCAATCCTTTAGACTACAAGTTGTGGGACCTGCTAGAGCAGTTGGCCTGCTCCAAAGCCCACCGTAATATCGAGTCCCTGAAAGCGGATTTGATCCGATCAGCGCAGCTATTCCTTTGGAAGCTGTGCGTGCAGTGATAGATGAGTGGCCCGCGAGATTGAAGCAGTGTGTGAAGGCCAAGGGGGGACGTTTTGAATAAAACTGTTTGATTATGAATTCTAAAAATGTTGTCGAATAAATAATATCTTTCATATAAATATATCTTATCTTGTTTCATTTTTATCATGAGATTATCATGGGACAGAACTTATGGCACGACTATGTATATATATATATATTATTTTTCACAAATCATGGTTGATTTGAATATTTCTTGGAGAAACTAGACAATGGAAATGTAACTACCTATAAGCAGTCTCACCTGAGCAAAAACCTGGTTGCGGTTCCCCATGAGCTCCCCAATTATAAGTGGTTGGATAAAGTGAGGAAGCAGCTAGTGGAACTTCTGTCAAGGTAGTAGGGACACCTCCAGCTTCAAGAAGAAGTATATTCCATCCAGTTATTTCTGATAGGCGATTTGCTAACACGGAACCGCTAGGGCTGGCACCCACTATCACGAAATCGAATTCTTCAGGTGTCTTTTTAGGTGGAAATTCTGAAAAATGTTTCTTAATGACAGGGTAAGTTTTTGTAGTCACTTTCAGGCAAAAAAGCTAGATAGTTTTGCAATACCTGAATCTCCCACCCGAAGTGTGAGAATCTACAGAAATGCGGCATACTAACTTAAAACCCGCAGTCATTTGACACACCACCCACCACGGTGATGTTTGCAGTACAGGTATTTCATCATGATCCAAGCTTTAATATCCTGAATCACCCTTCTAGCCCATGCACCAAGGCAAGATGCAACGACTTTAATTATCTTCTCAGTGATAACCCTTATATGTTCAATCATTTTCAGATCTTTGTCGAGCCACACACCCAGGGATTCAATTGCATTTTGGCCTAGAATGTCGGTGTCCTCAACCTGAAAGTGAAGCTTCTGTCTGCCAGAAAGTATAACCACTTCCGCCTTCTCGAGAGGTAATTTCTAGTTATTTTGATTATTATGATTCCATATATCAAAAGCCCTTCTAGTGCATCTCTCTTTGCTATCATTGCCAGGTGCATCTGTAACCGACGTACTCGATCGTAGAAGGCGTCGCGGTGCAACGGCCCTATAACGGAGCCCTGCGGCACTCCCGCAGTTACCTCCATCGTCTCTTAACCTGTCATAAGCGACCTCTCATTTAAATACCTCTTTATGATGATCAACGGATAGCTAGAAGTTCTCGAGGATCTAATGATTTTCTGCCATTGTGATGCCTTCAGCATTCTTAACGTCAAAGGCAATCATAACGCGTAGCAGAAACTCATAAGAATATGACTGTAGCTGCCGCTATCGGCTGCGTGTACCAGCTGGACCATTGCACTAAGTGCGTCTGGTAGACTCTCCTTTTCTAAATATGTATTATGAGGGAGACAGTTCGTTCTTTTCTTCGTCGTATTTTCTTAGCCTACCTTCTATCAGCAGTTTCAGTAGCTTTCCTAGTTAACTCAGCATATACAGAGGTCTATATTTAACTTCATTATCGGTGGATTTTAGGGGTTGCGGGTTGACTAAACCTGCCTCCTCCCACTTGTTTGGAATAATTCCCGTCCTCAAGCGTTCAATCATCACAGAAAAATGGTTTATTACGCAATTTCGTACAATCAGGTTTCTATATTAGCATATAATAAAAGTCACATAAGTTGCCCAAACCTGTTGAGAACTTTCAAGACTTGACCAGATGCTTAGATTTCGAAGTATATAATTTTGCGTATGTTTAAGTTACTGTGTTCATTATGTGATTTTTTTTAATGTAAATGTACAAAAACACTAAGCTTTGACGTCTCGCCATTTTTAAAGATAGTCATTTTACATTCTAGGGATTTAAATTGCTGATGAGGAGCCTCAAAGTGAAATATTACGTGATTCCTTTTAATAAATGTTCCAAGATGGCACCAGGCCACCATTTTGAAATCTTCAACCATCACTTTTACGATAAAACAAAGTAATCATGCATCGTCTTTGTTTCCTCGAACTTCAGCTTGCTAACACGTTCTAAGAGTAAGTAGGGAAAGGGTACAGTTTTCAGTTTTGGGAAGAACATAATAATAATAATAATAATAGATGTGTTTATTTCTTAACAACAACACTGTAATGCAGCCAAGGTGAGACTTGAATGGCGGAATTTAGTGTTTGCTTCTCTTGCATTCAACAATAAATCACTAGCACTTAATAATAATGAAATAGTGTACTGAGTGAGAAAAAAAGCTAAACGCCTACGTACCTTTATTAGAATTCAAGAATTTTTTACATATTGATTTATCTTGTCATGAACAACAAGTGATAAAATGGTCAGGTTTTTCTGTTAAGTTTTTGTGGTGGCTGCGTGTATTGCTTGGTGATAAAGAAGCAACTAGGTTATGTACATTTACGGTGACAGTTAAATGTTAAATTTCGTGTAGTTTATTGAAAAGCCTTTTTGTGATTGCTCAAAAAGCCTAGAATGCGTAGAATTCGCCGGATGTCCAAGCTAAGTGACTTTGAGAGGGGTCGAATTGTCGGGTTGGGTGAAGCCAGTCTATCGATAAGAGAAGTTTCTAAGAGGACCAACGGATCATTGCGCTGTATACTGCAGTGTGAACGACCGTGGACTCAGGAAGGCCGAGGACAGCGAGCCGAGGGGTTCTGGACGTCCCAGACGGACCACAGAGCGACAAGACCGCCGGTTAAGACTTCTGGCTCTGAGAGACAGATTCAGTAGTACTCGAGCCATCGCTAATCAGTGGTTTGAAGAGCATGGAAGGATAGTTGATATGCGTACGGTTTATCGCCGAATACGTCTGTTTGGCCTTTTTTCTTATCTCCCACATTGGGTGCTACTTCTCATAGCTGAACATCGGCGGAACCGTTTGCTCTGGTGTAGAGAAAGAATTCTATGGGACCCGGAATGGAATCAGATGGTCTTTAGTGACCAATCCCGCTTCAGTCTGGGGATGCACGATGGTCGGGCAAGAGTGAGAACACGACGTGGTGAAAGACGTGAACATGTCTGGGACATGATAGGTCTCAGGCTCTTGAATTTGCAACATCCTCCACAGAAATCGTGGATCCTCAACACATTATTGAACCAGCTTCCGTAGTCAGTTGACGAAATTTAATCATTTTACTAGTGGGACACTGAACAAATATGCCAAAAATATTAAAAATCGGATAAACATACGTAGGTGTTTACATTTTTTGTCACTCAGTATATTCACAACAAATTTGATTTTATAGTAATAGATCATTATTTCGTAGAACTAATTTTTTAAATGCCTCTGAGTACACATGGCACTTTCGACTTACCATCATGGCGTTCGTATGCAGAATTTATGTTTGAAATCATTGCCGCTCCATCTATAATTGCAGTAGTTAATTTGAGCAGTTGCCTAAGATCCTTTACTGGGATATGGGACAAAAGTGCTGTAATTGCTGCTGCTATTAAGGCACGCAGTAGAAACATCTGAAAAGAAAAAGTGTCGTCAAGTAGCTCCTTGCATAGTAGTTACCTCTTGTGAATATTTCATCAAAATCCGGGCGATACTTTCCAAGTTATAGACGGACTAGGAATTAGCAAACAGACCGACAGACAGGCCGAAGGAAATGACTCGAGAAGCTCTTCAATACTGAAAAAGCACCTCTCCAATAAAATATGTTTTACCTTCCTTTTAAAATTATACAACCACGTAACCTCACGGCTGGAAGCTCGTTGAAGAGCTTTGTACATCATGCTGGAGACTTTTTATAGTAAATGTTAAAAAACGTCTTGTTGATAAAACTGTCTTGTAATTATGCATGATGGACTGTCTTTTAAATTCGTTTCTATTTAGTAAAAAATACACTAATAGCTTGAAAATATAAGTAGATGCCACAGAGAGATGACTGACAGTGAATTTTTAAAATTATACGGATGATCCTCTTTTGGAGGATAAAAACACTGTGGGCGTTTTTAGCTTATCTCCACAAGACAATACAATATGAAACAGCTGAGTATCCTAACACATAATGAATATTCGTCAAGTCAAAATAACATTTACCAAGCTTTGGGCATACTGAATCAGCATTTTCCTCCCATAACAGATGATTTATGAAATTCCTTTATTTTGCTCAAGTAACTAATTGGACTTATGTATTATATATAAACCTTCTTATTATTTAGTTAATTGCGTATTTTTATCACCTTTGCGAAAGCTTGGGTAATCTCGAAACTCGAGATACTATAGACCAAAATATGTGAATAGACATACTCGTAAACATAGCTCAGTCCAAAAGTTAATAGTTTGCGAGATACAGCGTGTCAAAGTTACAATTTTATTTGCTGTTTTTCTTTATCGCTTGAGAAGTATTTCAGATTTTAGCATAAAACTCGGTAAAGGGAGGTTCTTTAGTATGAGAAACAAAAATCCGTTATTTTTTATGGCCAAACTTCTAGAGGGCGCCACTTACAGCACTATTTCGGTAAATAACTTATCATCACTTTTTTGTGCTACCCTGTATACAACAACTGCACGAAAAATCTTATTTTCGCGTATTTACACAACAAAACGTACGTTTACTTGTTAGAAGTTTCTAAAGCTAATAGTTTTCGAGATATTTGCTTTTAAAAGTTCGAATGCATTATTTGTACCATGATGATAAAACATTTTTATAACATAATAATCAAGTTGCTTTGGATAATATCTGAGTAGCGTTGCTATGGTTCTTGCCTAACACACTCTCGAGCTCGACTAACTAATCCTTGCTGCACTTCCCAAAGCATTTGGATGTTATTTTTAATTTCCTGGCTTTGGTGGAAAATTCTTCGTCGAAGATCATCTACAGTTTCCACTGGAGTATTGTAAACGCGTCATTTTAAATCACCCCAGAAGAAGAAATCCATAAGATTTAAATCTGGTGATCCAGCCGGCCACGATACAGGTCCTGATCGGCCTATCCACTGCTCTGGATGAACTCTATTTAGGTGATCTCTAACTAATATACTAAAATGAGGTGGAACGCCGTCGTGCATAAACCACATTTTATGCGTGTTTGTAATGGAAGATCTTCCAGAAGAGTTGGTAATTGTTCTTCAATAAATTGTAAATAACTTTGACCATTTGGTCGTAACTCAATGGGTCCTATTAAATATTGTCCAATCATTCCTGCCCATAAATTAATTTAAAATTGTACTTGGTGGCGGGTTTGTATTATTGCATGAGGATTTTCGTCCGAATAAATGCGAAGATTTTGCGAGTTAATGGGCCCATCCCTTCCAAATCCTGCTTCTTCCGAAAATAATATTAACGAAGTAAAACCATTGTCGTGGTTAAACTCCCTTAAGAGCAACGTACAAAACTCTACCCTTGCAGGGTCATCATCCGCGCTTAAACCATGATCTTTTTGCAGGTGGTATTGATGAAGCAGTTGCTCTTGAAAAACGGTATTTACTGTACATTTGGAAACTTGAAATTCTCGAGCTACATTCCTAACCCCAACTGTAGGATTTTCAAAGACAGCATCTAAAACATTTTCTTCAACTTCCGCTGTACGGACAGTTCTGGGAGCTCCACTATGTCGGCCCATATTTTGAGCAAAACTACCTAAAATCCAAATGGTTTTTACTACTCAAAATAAGGTTATAATCATTCCCTACCAGTTTCTCGTAACCGCTGATCGATTCGTCGGAGTCTTTGATTTAGGCAGATGTCAATTAGGGAATATGCGTACAATCTTCGTGCTTTTAAAGCATCACATCTTGCCAATCCGTACATTAAATGCATATCAGGATATTCATCAAACGTATACTCCATGATGTTAAACAACTTATTGTCAAATTAAAATTATTCATGAAGTTTAAAGCAATATTATGACAGAAATTAGAAACCTTAGCAACGCTACTTAGATATCATCCAAAACAACTTGATTATTATGTTATAAAAATGTTTTATCATCATGGTAAAAATAATGCATTGGAATTTTTAAAAACAAATATCTCAAAAACTATTAGCTTTAGATACTTCTAACAGGTGAACCTTTTTTGTAGTGGAAATACGAGAAAATGAGATTTTTCGGTCAGTAGCATAAAAAAGTTATAAGTTATTTACCGAAATAGTGCGGTAACTGGCGCCTAAAGGTTTGGCCATAAAAATAACGGATTCGTCTTTCTCATAGTAGAAAACCTCCGTATACCGAGTTTTATGCCGAAATCTGAAATACTTCTCAAGCAACAAGGAAAATTAAAAAATAAAATTGTAACTTTGACACCCTGTATCCCGCAAACTATCAACTTTTGGATTGAGGTATGTTTAGGTCAATTCACATATTTTGGTCTGTAGTATCTCCAGTTTCGAGACTTCCCAACCTTTCGCAGTTAAACATAATTGTAATTTGAATTTGAATCGGGTTACCAAGGTTAAACATTTAAACGTTTAACAAAACGTGAAACGTTTCGGATGCTGAACCCTAAAACTTACGTTGCAGCTGATATAAACGGAAGAAAATACAGAGCCCTTCACTTTACCACTTTTGTTAGAAACCGTTAAATACGTTCTCTTTCTATTTATATGTGACGATTCTTATACAATCCTTACATTTTTCAGGGAATACTCCATCTAGTAGGTATTCATTGATAAAACATGTGAAATAATCTTACATGGTGTCTCACAATGAATTGCGAAAATCGATGTGACGACACCACGAAATTGATAATAATAAGAATAATGTTCTTTATTTTCCCATCATATTGGGAAAACCTCAAGGGGGAGCTCACCAGAGGTGTCCTTCCACTCAATCCTTGCCAGTAGTAGAATACATGTAAAAAAATAGCCTAACCTAAAACTAACAAAAAACACATAATGTTCATAATGTAAACCGAAACTAGTTCCTTAAATTTATGTGGATTGCATGATTTGAGACGATAAGAAAGAGAAAATTATAATGTCTAGTAATTGCAAAGTTGAAGCTTCTTTCAAAAAGAACTGTCTTGTGAGATGGTTTATTGATTAGATGTTTATGTCTTGCGTCAACATTATGGTCATTAGCGAGAAATGTCACTCTTTGGTAGGGGGATTCTTATATCAGTAGTACAGTATTTTGTAAAATAAGCAGAGAGCATATAAGCGCAATATTTTGTCCATGTTTATCCAATTTAGTCCATTCAATTTGTGTAAAACATGCTCAGAACGTATGTTCTAAAACTTTTGCTACAAAGGTTATTGTCTTTAATTTTAACAAATACAAAATAATGTCCAGTTACCTTTTTAAACAAAAGTTTGTTACGTGCTTACTTAACTGTCAGTTGACATTTATTTGTTTTGACCTTTTCGCTTTAAGATTTCGTAGAAATTAGAAATAAGAAAAAGTATCAATCTAAGACGGATTTCATACGGACAACATAAAGGAATGCTCTGACAATGAAATTTGCAGATAAGCTCCTTATCTGGTTCGCAATTTCTAACAGCGGTGTATCCAACCTCTTGTGGGAAGAGTGAGGAGTGAAGATTTGAATAGTCAGAGCTATATTGATGACTGCGTTTCCAAATGCTAATGACCATATCATGTTTTGGCCAGACCTAGCATTATGCCATTACTCAAAAGATACCCAATACTGGCTTCGACAATACAACAACCTTTTGTTCCAAAAAACGATAATCCTTAAAACTTTCCGCTGGCTCGCCCAATAGAGGATTTCTGAGCTTTACTGTCTAGGAAGGTATACCATGGAGCTGGGAAGCCCTAGATGAAGAACAATTGAGACGGCGAATTTACGAAAAGCTGAAATTGATCTGAATTCCGTCCAGGACTTCATGAGAGGAAGTTGCGTCTGGTAGAGCAGAATGGGCCACTCCACATAATTCGATAGTATAATTTAGTTTAGTATTGAGTTGTAATTTATGATAACTAGTTAGGGTATTAAATAAATTTCTTCGTTAAAAAAAAGCCGATACATATTTTGTGCCAAAACTTTTAGGACATACGTTATTATAGACGGGCCAAGTATTAGCGGACAGACCGACAGACAGAGCGAAGTAAAGCGAAAACTTAAAAAATAAAATATAATGTATACAAATATTTTCATTAATGGTGTCTCTTCAAAAAACCGATCGTAGGACACCGTGTAAGAATTTGTTGAATCTACACAATTCTATAAAATGTTTGTGTGGATATACGTAACGCAAAAATGGATACAATTCCATATATAACTGCCAAATAAACTACTCAAAATTATCTTCTTTCATTGTATTATTGTTCACATATACCTATCTGTTAGTACAGATCACTGAACTTTATTTAAATGTGTTAGAATCTTTGATTCAGAACTTTCCAGCAGTGCAATGAATGAGCGCGAAACTCCATATTTAACTGATT